TTTCGATACTTTATTTATTTTATTATTTATTTATTTTAACTTTTAAGTTCAGGGGTACAAGTGCAGTTTGTTACATAAGTAAACTTGTGTCATGGGAGTTTGTTGCACAGATTATTTCATCAGCCAGATTTTAAGCCTAGTACCCATTAGTTATTATTCTTGATCCTCTCCCTCCTTTCACCCTTTATGCTCCAAAAGGCCCCAGTGAGTGTTGTTCCCCTCTATGTGTCCATGTGTTCTCATTGTTTAGCTCCCACTTACAAGTGAGAACATGCGGTGTTTGGTTTTCTGTTCCTGTGTTAGTTTGCTCAGGATAATGGCCTCCAGCTCCATCCATCGCCCTGCAAAGGACATGATCTCATTCTTTTTTATGACTGCATAGAGTTCCATGGTGTGTATGTACCACACTTTCTTTATCATCAGTTTATCAGTTTACCATTGATGGGCAATTAGGTTGATTCCATGTTTTACTCTTGTGAATAGTGTTCCAACAAACATACGTGTGCCTGTGTCTTTATAATAGAATGATTTATATTCTTTTGCGTATATACCCAGTAGTAGGATTGCTGGGTCAGATGGTATTTCTGTCTTTAGGTCTTTGAGGAGTTGTCACACTCTCTTCCACAACGGCTGAAGTAATTTACACTCCCATGAAGAGTGTAAATTAACAAGCATTCCTCTTTTCTCCACAACCTTCTCAGCATGTGTTATTTTTTGACTTTGTAAGAACAGCCATTCTGACTGGTGTGAGGTGGTATCTCATTGTGGTTTTGATTTGCATGTCTCTAATGAGCAGTGATGCTGTCCTTCTTTTCATGTGATTGTTGGTCACATGTATGCCTTCTTTTGAAAAGTGTCTTTTTCTAACTTTTCATCTGCTCCTTAGGACCTGCTTTTGGAGAAAAGTATATCAGTATCAGAGAGTATGGAAAGGGGTGTTTTCCTTAGGTCTACATGACCTTGTTTCATGTAGTAAACAAGATGTTCATGCTTAATTAAATTCTAGGATGGACGCAGTGGCTCACGTCTGTAATCCCAGTGCTTTGGGAGGCTGAGGCAGGTGGATCACCTGAGGTCAGGAGTTCGAGACCAGCCTGGCCAACATGGCAAAAACCCACCTCTACTAAAAATACAAAAATTAGCCAGGTATGGTGGCTGCCACCTGTAATCCCAGCTACTTGAGAGGCTGAGACAGAAGAATTGCTTGAACCCGGAAGGCGGAGGTTTCAGTGATCCAAGATCGTGCCACTGCACTCCAGGCTGGGCGACAGAGTGAGAATCTGTCTCAAAAAAAAAAAAAAAAAGAGAAGAAAAAAAAGTTCATGCTTAAATTTTAAATTCTAGAGTTTAAATGATTGAGGATTGCCTTACTTGAACAATAATCTGTCCCTGTTATTAATACTAGGCCAGTAGCTGGGTCATTATTCTCACCACAGCAAAGTTAATCACTCACTAGTAAAAAGAGAGAGAGCATTCAGTTTATTCGGAGGCTGTTTAATTATCAACTTTTGGAATGAGAAGTGCCTCTTCAAGTTTCTGAGAACATATTATTCCACTTCTTGCCAAGGCCTGTCGCCAAATTTTTTATTTTAATTTTTTTTTTCCCTTACCATGTTATTACCATTTCTACAACCAACCAGATACTGAATTCAACTGACCGAACCATTTCTGAAGTTACTGCTAATGTTACCCACAAAAATCATTACTAGTTTAGTTGAGGAACAATCTTTTGCCTGCCAGAAATATTCTGTATTCCTGGCAGGCAAAAGCAAGACAAACAGATTTCCAAGGTATCAACACTGTGTGCATCTGCTTCATAGTGTAATTTCATCAGTTGAGCAGATGAAGAATGCTAATTAGTTTGTTTATACATATGTAATTTAATGAGACTAAATACTTAACTATCTTAAAGTAAGCACAACTTGTTTCCTGTTGGCTGTTTTCACTTTAATAAAAAACACTGTTCGGCACATTTCCTGGAAATTATAGTACTGTGCAGTACAGGAAAAGAAATTATTTCCAGGAAAGTTGACTGGTCAAATGTATTCTGCTGCAGCTGGATTCAGTAGGAAGATAAGAATTAAAATATTGGGCTTGGGTACCAACATTGAAATCCAATGTGAATGAGAGAGTGAAGTTTAATGGAAAGATCTATTATAAACTATATTATGGCAAACTTCTAAGTCCAATACTAAAATTCTAATGTATACCAAAATAACTTATTTTAGTAATAATTCTATGCCATCCTCAGACCTAACCTATACTCTTCCATTTCTTATTGTCTTCCTTTTGTTTTTGTGTACCCTTTTCTGCTGTTATTGTAGTTAGATATTGGTATAACTGAAATAGTGGCATTCAGATAATACAGCTCTTTTCCCTGAAAATTAATATAAAATAATGCTACTGTTATTTGTATAAATAGATGTTTAGTATTATCTATTACACTATCTTTGATTACTTTGAGGTTGTTTAAAAACTGGATCCCAGCCAGGCACAGTGGCTCATGCCTGTAATTCCAGCACTTTGTGAAGCCAGGGCAGGAGGACTGCTGAGCCCAGGAGTTAAGAGACCAGCCTGGGCAACAGAGTGAGACCTTTTCTCTACAAATAATAATGAAAAAAATTCTCCAAGTTCCCCCACCCCAATCAAAACTGGACCTGCGTAGGCTGTTATTTTTGGAGAGGAGTGACTAGAGGAGATGAGGAAATAACTTTGCTCCTATAGTCAAAATTATATTTTAATTAAAATGCTTAAGTTAATATACTCAGCTTTCTACAACCAGGGGTCAGCAAACTACTGGCTATGTTCACAGTCTGCTTTTACAAACAAGGTTATATTGGAACACATCTGTGCCCATTCATTTGTATATCATCGCTGGCTGACTTCACACTGCAATGGTAGGGTTGAATAGTTGCAATACAGACCATGTAACCTGCAAAACTGACAGTATCTATTCTCAGGACCTTTACAGAAAAGGTTAAAGCACTTTTGAAGATTAAAGCTGATCACTGATTTGAAGCTTAAATCAGAAGAGAAGTTATTAAACAATAATAGAATTATGTTGAGATGTAGTAAAGACTAAGAAACAAATATTTATTACATTAAGTCCCAAAACAAATGTGGGTAAAATTATTAGATTTTTAGGTTTTGTAGAATCTAAGTAATCATTCCCCCTATAGCCATATTGCCTTTGGACCACTTCAGTAGTCTACTGAGATAGACCACTTCCATTCTATTCTGGCAGAATAAATTTTCTACTCATAAATGCATAGGATTTTCTTCTGTCCCCTCTTGAAGATTCATAAATTGTATATGAGCATAGATTTTGGTCATAACTTTAGGTAACAGAGCCCTGGCAGCTTCTTCTGGCCTGCCAGCATCCATAATCTTCCTCTATACCTAATGTCCCATGACATCCCATGGAGATCAGATACTGAATTTAGCTTCCTTGTTTGTCCCAGTTCAGAAAATGAGTTGTTCATTGTTCTAAACTTATTAGATGACTTACATGTGACAATTTAGAGGCTGTTGCTTATACATACTGGAAACATATTAACGGCATTGAGGAGCATAGAAAATTTTAAAAAAAATTGAACTCCAACTCTAAAGATTCAAATATAAGGCTGTATCTTGGATGTTTCAGATACCACCAGCCAATGAGCAGAAGAGTTATGTTCCTCACTGAATTTTAATATAAATTTGTAAAGCATATTTTCAAGATAAAAATCTATTCTTAGTTAATAAACTAAGCCTGATTATGATAGAAACTGCTCTATCTTAGTAATATTAGTTTGGAGTTATAGAAAACACAGGCTCCGGAGTCAGCTGAATCTGCATTTGAATCCTAGTTCAGTCATTCTCTAGCATTTCAAATGAGAGAAAAGTACCTGAAAATTTGAGCTTCTCACCCACTGGGGATAATAATACCTGTGTTACATGGTTGCTGTGAGGATTAATTATAAACATAGAGTTCCCAGCACTGTGTGAAGCACATAGTACTTAGTACATGTGGGGATTAGCAAATATGGGTTCTTTTCCACTCTTTATTTTTCTTCCCCAAGAGTAGGAAATAGCTGGTAGACCCAGTTAATCAAGATAATTAGTACTGTTGATGAACTGAATTCACACCTTGACAGTTCCAGTAACAAATAGCTAATGATAAATGGGTTGTGAATTGTGAGATAATTTACAACCACAACATCAACAAAAACAAAAGTACAGGGGAAAATATGCCGGAATGACGATGCTTATGAATTCAGTGGGAAGTGGGGTAGTGTTTGACTCACTGCAGTGCCGACTAGATTTGGATCCAGAGACCCCTGCAAATCCCATGGTATGTTCTTGGAGATCAGGAGTTCTGATGTTTTTTCATTTTGATAATATTTTTAAATTGCTTTACTATTTAAAGTGATAAAAATTTTCTTTCGCCGTAATCATCTTCATTGAACTTTTTTTTCATTGAACTTTTTTTTTCCTAAGTTGGTGTTTCAAATCTGAAAACATATACTTGGGGATCATTATGCATATTATTTTCCCTTAGGTATTTTTGGAAGCCATTGGTTTTTACTGTTCTGACTTCTCAGAAAGGAGAGCATAATGAGAATGTAGTAGTACAAGCATTAATAAAACATAGACTTAGATGTGGCTTTTGTCATAAAACCATGGTGTTCCACTCTTGTGAAATCAAACTGGATCAGATGAGTCCAGATGAGTATAAAAAATGGAAATCAGTAGTTGATGCTAAGAGCATTTTGGAAAAATATATTTTATTTTAAGAGTTAAAATAGTAAGAGCAAGTATTTTGCTAATATAGTGAAATTCACACACATTAAGTAAAGTTCTTTGCCAAATATCCTGCTCATTTTATAACTGGCATTTCCAGCAGAATTTTTTTTTAACTTGAAATGATGTGACTATTGCTTTTTCTCACCTGTCTTTTTCTGTTTTCGTCAGTGCATAAAGTCACTCCTCTTTCTGTTCTGACCTTTTGCTGCCCGTAGACATCCCAGTTACCAGTGTCCTTGAATTGATAGTGGCTTCTGTTTGTCAGTCTCATATAAGAACTACAGCTCATCAGGAGGAGATCACAGCAGGGTAAGAGACACCAACACCATGTTCTGCACGAAGCTCAAGGATCTCAAGATCACAGGAGAGTGTCCTTTCTCCCTACTGGCACCAGGTCAAGTTCCTAATGAGTCTGCAGAGGAGGCAGCAGGAAGCTCAGAGAGCTGCAAAGCAACTGTGCCCATCTGTCAAGACATTCCTGAGAAGAACACACAAGAAAGTCTTCCTCAAAGAAAAACGAGTCGGAGCCGAGTCTATCTTCACACTTTGGCAGAGAGTATTTGCAAACTGATTTTCCCAGAGGTGAGTGCTTGCTCTTTAGATTTTGAAATTGTAGAATGTTTTTCTAAGGAAAATTTAAACACTTCCTTTCTCGCTTTCAAGGCTACCATAAATGTAGAATATTTTCTTGGAACATACAAAAATATTCTTTTAAAGCAATTATGTTCTTAAGTTGTGTTTTATCTTAAGATGTTTATGATCTTGAATTCTTTTCAAAAGAACATTGCACTCTGGCAAACTTTATGATTTTGGGCAACAGGCTTAATGCCGCTTTACCTCAGCATCCTTGTCCGTAAAGTGAAAATAGTAATAGTACTCATCTTCTAGAGTTTTAATGAGTTTTAAGTGAAACCATCCATAGCTCTTGCCATACCATAAGCAGTCAATAGTTGTTAGCTATTATCTTAAAATTAAATTCTTCAAAGAATAGCGTATTTTCTGCTGGGGTTTTCTCTCCTGATTTTAAAGAGCATCATACGTCCCCTGCCAATTTTCAGAGTTGTGAAAATCTCCCTTGACTGTTTGCTCTGATTCTGAAGTTTCTGCTCAATCAGTCTTGACCTTCTCCCTTGGGTTGGAGTCATGAGCCTGTGATTGCCTATACCTGTGTGTTATTAGCTCTGACACCTCTTCATATAGCCCTGCAAGCTGCATAGCATAGTGTCATGTTGAGATCTAGAGCACCTTCTGTCAATCCACCTTTAAGGAAACTTCTGGGAACAGGACACAGACCTAAACAGGTCAAATATCTTAGGAATAGAGGGGACATGTAGAAAACTCCTCTCCCTTTGTAGGATAAATAGAAGAGCAGTTGAAGGTCTTCATGATGTCTTCCTCCCTCTGTCAGTCTTCATAGTTTTATATAGATTTGCTTAACCTATGAATTTGGCTGGACATTGACTCAATCAGACACTGGCTAACATAATACACTGATAATTTTTAATTGACGCAATACCAACCCTCTATTGTGTGCAAAGCACCAAAGAAACACAGACTGGCTAATTTTCAGAACTGAAAGGAATTTCACAGATAATCTTGTTTTACTCCCAGGAAGTGCTAGGGAAGTTCAGTGACTTGACCAAAATTACACAGCTTTCAAAGGGTAGAGCAATTAATTACTGCTGTAAACAATCCAGGCTGGAATGACTGAGAAAGAAGAAATTGAAGTTTGAAGGATGGATAAATTGGACTTAGCAGAAAGTTGAGGGAGTTTATTTCAGATATGATATTAACACAATAGTACTTTGGCAGATAACCTTTGAAATGGAAATGTTTAATTATTCTTACCCCACTCTAGTTGCTAGATAGCCAGCATTGGCTAGGAAAAGGGATACAGTCCTCCTCAGGGAGTTGGTTTGTGGCACACTCTGGGAAACAATCGGTGCTCTCATTTCCAAGGACAGAGTGAAATGAACAGACATGAACAGATGGTGATGATGAGGAAGCTAGATAACGTCTATGTTTTCCCTGAATCCTGTCCTTACTATGTTGGCTTTATTATTTTGTTTAGTAAATTTTGAATTTCTACAGTGGAAGTCATACACATATTGGACTCTTTTTTGAAAAACATTCTGGTTCACTTGATGGTGGCCCCAAAAGTTCCACAGGCTTCCTTCAGTCTTTTTCATTCATTTTTATTTTCGCCCTTCTGACTGAATAACTTCAGATGACCTCTCTTGAATTTGCTGATTCTTCTGCTTAAGTCTGATGTTGATTGTTTCCATTGAGTTTTTTTCAGTTAGTTATTCTTTCATTCCAGAATTTTTGCTTAGTTCTATATTTGTGGTTATCTCTTTGTTGATATTTACATTTTGCTCACATATAGTTTTCTTATTTTATTTAGTTGACGGTCTGTGTTTTCTTAGAACTCACTAAATTTCATTATGTTGAATTTTTTGTCAGGTAAATCATTGTTCTTCATTTATTTAGGGCCGTAGATTTATTTATTTATTTATTTGGTTGTGTAGATTTATTTATTTATTTATTTGGTTGTGTCATATTTCCCCAATTTTTCCTGTTCCTTGTAGCTTTGCATTGGTGCCTGCACACTTCAGTATGCAGTCACCTCTTTGCTTCTTTTCAGACTGGTTTTGACAGGAAAAGACATTCACCAGTTGGCTCAGCTAGAGATTTTGAGAGCCTCTCAAATATTTTCCATGGATGTGCATGTTCCATTCCTCTCTTTTCCTGATGAGGGAGAAGTTTCTGGGTGGTGTGTCTTCTCCTGATCCTGAAGAGCCATACAGGCTGCTGTAAACTTCCC